TTTGGTGAACAAGGGCATGATAAAAGTAAATATTTAAAAGGGCTGATGAAATGTTTAAGCATGTAAACCAAAATAAAAGGCAGTTCAGCTGTGGTGGTAGATATACTGAAGTGGGAACTATAGACTGCCTGTGCTCAGAGCTATATTCATTTTCCAGTTTAGTGCAGAGAACACAGTGAGCTGATAGAGGAAAGAAATGGTTTAAATGACTTTCCAGAGAATAGTGAAGCTACCTTTGCCATAAAATGACAGTGAAGGTCTCAACGGAAGTCTAGGATGTTCTGACACCAATTGGCAAAATATATCCTATTGCACTGTGGAAGAACAGTTCAGTTCAAGACATAAAGAACTCATCCTTTGGGACCAGCAGATGGCGTAATGGTTATGTCATTGTACTCCCACATAGTCACCTGCAGTTTGAGTCCCATACCTGGTGTTATAAAACTCACACCGGGCATGTGTGCATTAGTGCCCAAGATCTTAAGAGGAGAATACAGTAGAACAGAGTGCTATGTAGCCATTTCCCGAGGGGTGGTGGTTTCTCACTTTCTGCCTCTCTCTATCTATGGCGAACAAATATGCCCTATAGCAAAAATCTCTCTTAAGAAAAAAAAATTCTTCTGCTACAGACAATACTTTGTTCTTCCCTTGAGGGATTCTCTAAGAGTTCTTAGAGTTGAAATATGTGGCCAGCAATAGCATGCTTCTCTTTCATGGCCTCGGTAAGGCTTAAGATAGAAATGGATGTCCTACCTGTTTCAGAGAAACAGCAATGAACAGTTGGATAAAGGTATGTCAGTGGCTCAGCAGCAAGGATCTATGTGTCTCTAAAAGAAACAACAGTACATAGGAAGAGTTGAAATGAATTTTAATGAAAATGAAAAGTGCTGGCCCTTTCAGGGAGGAGTGACGGCTTTGAGAGGTCCCTGCAAGAGGCAGATTCAGTGTTTGAAGAGTCACTGCATCTGGAACAGAAGGGAGACTGTGCTGCAGCTTTGGCTCTCTGTAACGAAGCTATCTGTAAGTAACTCTAACCGCTACGGCTATGGCACTTTTGACTAACTTCACAATAGGTATTATTACTGTTGTCACTCAGATGGCATAAAAACAGTTCTCATGTGTATTCACTCTTGCTCTTCCAAGTGGATTTAGTTATCTTTGCCCTTCTGATTCTAAATGTGCCCAGCATCGTTACTGTGGCTGTGGACATCTACTGGAATAACCTCAGCAGGAGTCCACAGAAAAATTCTCTAGCATGCCTTTCTTCTTATCCTACGATAAAGTTAGACCTCAAATAGGAGGCTAATGTACTCTTTCTCTAGTCACTGAATAGTGAGTTGGGGCTTATGGCAGCAAAACAATAAATTGGCCATGATTTTCTAGGCCTGTAACTTCCTACTAAATTATCCGATTCTGTTTTTTCCCTACCTTCCTTATGGTATGCAGTACCATAAGATTACAGCATGGGACTAAGACTTAAAATTGGTATCTGATTCTTAAATGTGACCCACAAGATGCTATGTTCTATAAAGACAAATGCAGACTTGGATTTTATTTCTGCTCTTGGTCATAAGGAAGGGAGAGTTGGGAGCAGAGTGTGGAGACCAGACTTGGACAGGTCAGTTGCAAAGGGTGGCAAGAGTGGCAGCCTCTAATATGGAAGCACTAGTTTACCTTCCTGATTCATTTTAGCGATTTTTTGTTTGTTTGTTTTGTTTTTGTTTTTAATTTGAATTAACCTGTTCGGCCTCCATGGCTTCCATGAATGTTCTTATAGCCAGAGCCAGCACTGTGCCCTGAGTAGCATATGCATGGTCCATG